AACTCTGTTGAGAATGGATATATAATTCCATCCTATATGAGATAATTTATAGTAGATTTAACATTTCAGAGATAACCCACCATTTGACAGACAAAATTACCTGTGTACACAAAAATTGCAGGAAGCACATGCTTGTTTATACAAGAAGTAGTCAAATAAAGAAATGCAAGGCCTGAGCACTGTACAGTTCTACTTAACATAGAAGAAGGATTACTAAACTGATTTTTGTAATACCAAAGTTGAATATATACATAAAAAATATCCATTAAATAATCAAATCACAGCAGTCTTTGGAAAGCACCATATTTTGTTTTAGAAAAGTTTGTCTACACAATCCTACCTCTGTAGGTTGGCTGGAAGACAGCTTATCTTCATCTGTCTGTGTGGGCATTTTCAAGCCACCATATTTCTTCCAATAAATCCAGCAAGATGCACACAACCTACATTGCATATTAGGAGGGCCCCAAGAATACCATTGGTGAGACTGCGGAGCTAAGGAGGAGAAAGCAGCACAGGTGAACTGGTGCATGCTATATTCACTACAATCAATCCAAATGCTGTAATAGATGACTATATAATGGAAATAACACATGGCAATAGCAGAGCATTGTATGGATAAATATTTAATATATCTGACACAAAGTATGAAATTGAATTGTTCGTTGCTTTTTATTTTTACAAAAGCACCAGAGAGGTGAACTCCAAATAGAAATTTTGGAAATGCTTTTATAATGAATTTCAAACCAGGGACTTTGTATTGCTGAGATTTTCTCCCAGAGGACTACCAGAAAAAAACCAACAAACCCAATGCTTCTAATCTCACCCTGGAAGACAGGCTAATTAAGTTGGATTTTATATCTGCTCTCATATAACCTCTGTTAAGGACTGCTATTTCAAGAAGTCCAACAAAAATTATCAGAAACACACAAAAATACTAGAAAAAAACTATAGTTCTCTCCATGTTCCCCAACAACAGCGGAGGGGTAAAAAACACCCCAAAGCCATGCAAAGAAAAAAAAAAAAAGTTCAAAACCCCTGCAGCCTTAAAGAAAAACCAAAAATAAATTTGAATCAGCTTTGTGAAGGTTACAAAATAATAGATCAATGACATTATATTATACTACTTAAACTTTCTGTACTCTATGAATTGTTAAAAAATAAATCATGAAGATATTTGAATATTTTAATTAATATACTGAAGGCAGCTTTACCTTGAAGATATTTCTGCCGTAAGAGCAATTGCAAATTATCCTCTGTCACATGCTAACAAAAGTACATACCTTTTTTCTAACAGCACATATTAAGGTTCACCCAAACTCTTGAGTCATTAAAAATATATATTTACTTACTATAGCAGCTTTCACAAGCCCGACCTATTACTGTGGCTTGTGCCTGGTAAGAGGCTCCCATTGCTCCGTTGACTGCAGCAGGTTTCCCATTGTTGCTGGATATTTGATTGGGATTTGGTTTATTGCTTTAAATAATTTTTTTTAAAGTTGAAAAAAAAAAAAAAAGGTGGTTTTATTAACTGGTTAGTCAACATGAAGACAAACAATCTAATTCTGGAATTCTGATGTGTGTTGACAACATCTATAAAATTTTCTCTAAACAGCAAAAGTAACTTTTCTACTCCTCTATTATTTTCAGCATTGTCAGACACTTGCTATATTGAGAGCTGCTCTGATGCTCCAATTTGTAGCTTTTAGTGTGCTCATACGGCAAGCTAATAAAAGACCAACTCTCAGGTCAAAGCATTAACAACAGTCTGACACAGCGTGGAATTTTAGAAGGTGGTTCTAGTCAACAGATAAGGTATACAAGTCGAGGATGGACTTTGGGTGAAGTATAACAAGAGGAGCAACTGCCTGTAATACTACCAGGTTGTTGATCCCAGGAAAGGGTCAAACAGCCTCCTGTCTGAAAAAGAAGTGCCCACATAGTACAAATGTCTTATATCTATGGCAAAACTCACCCATATATCAGGCTGTTCTGTCACAGTTCTCTTCTAAATTACTTCCTTTCTAAGAAGGGTAACTGTTTTTTTGATATTTATGTTTGGCTTTTAAATATTATTATTATACTATATGATTCTCGTAATTATTGTAACTTCTAATACTTCAGTGAAGTAGGACTTTACAGGTCAATTAATTCAGAGAGCATTAATATAATTCCTCACTAGATTAAGTGCAATATTTCCAGAGTTTCAACTTTATGAGTCTTAATTATTCTCAATACAATTCAAGGCTGGATACATTGATTCCTAAGATAATTATTTGTTATTTTAGGTAGCATAAAATATATTCAAGAAAAGTTGAAATGAAAATTGAAGAAACCTTTTCTGTATCAAGTCTCTCTTTCAAATGCCAACAAGTCTGTCTCCTGCCTTCTCCTTTTTCACTGCATCAGCAAGAGACAATTTTACAATTTCCACATACTCTTTATCCTGGGCTCAGGGTACAGGAGAAGAGCTTGAAAGATGATTAAGTCTTCTACATTATGATCTGTTGCTTAGTTACCTTTCAGAAATGCCATGAATTGAAAGGGACTCTCTAGAATTAAGGACAGAACCTTGCAATTACAGGAAACACCTAATGATCAAGTTCAAAAAGGTGCTCAGCTTTGAGAATCAATTCTACTCAGATTTCAAATGTAATAAATGAGTCTTGAAGCAGAGCAGTTAGCAATCCCATGCCCACCACAGATATCAAATCCATGATAAATCCTACCATCCTCCTACTGTTGACTAGGGATTTTGTCTTGAAATGGAGGCAAAAGACAGGCAGTAAGATAAAAGTGCAAAAACTCCACATTTGGAAACACATTTTGCCACCCAACACAGCTGGTCCCTACTGTGAACATACTGAAAATCCATAACTGTCCACATGGAATGAGGAAATTAAATTGAAAAAGCATAATGTAAAGACTGAGCACCTTATGGTTTTCCTAAAGCTTAACCACTCATCTGAAAAGGTTAGGGAACACTCATACTAGAGTTTTTAGCTTTTTTTTTAAACAGCGTGACTTATTAGAGATGTGAGCATCAAAACTCACAAAATTTGTTCTGAGATAAGACTAAAATAATTAATTTAACAGTCTGCTGCTTTCATTGTTACATCTGTTTAAGAGAGAAATGAAACTCTATTGTATGTAATTTATACAAAACCTCAAAAATATTTGTAAAGTACTTCCTTTGTTATTACATTCTTCTGTTATACAAACACTCACAACAGTGGGAAGTTCATATATAAGTAAACAGAATATACCCCAGAAAGCTTAGAAAAAAGTGATTTGGAAACCTTTCTCTTGTCATAATATTGAGGAAATTATGAATATGAAGGAGGAATTTTATCTTTTTTTCTGCAAACCACGTTAACAGAAGCAGATACAGCATCCAGTTTAAATATAAAAGAAATACAGATCAAAAACCCCTCAAGAAGAAAACAAGACTGCATTAACACAACATGGTCAAAGACAGAAGATCTGGGGCTGTGCGCTACCTTTAATTTAGAACCTGAACATCTCTTGTTTTTAGATGAATTTTAATCAGCCAGATAAAACTGTAATGGGAAAGTATCTGATTTATTTTTTTTTTTTTAATGTAACTACATTATCAACTGCTTCTACTTTGAAATATTGCACTTATGCAAATATGAAGTGTTGTGCTACAGAGATTTGGAAGGCTTTATTTTGAAAAAACTGCTTTTTAAATTAATAGGCTCTTCTTGCATATGAACAATCCACAGGCAGTACTTGATGAGCCTTTGTAAAACTTCTTATTCTACACAAAAAGGCTGCAGGTCAAAAACAAAGATCAGTAAAGTAAGAAGGTTTCACTTAAGACAAGAGTTTCTGGCGTATTCTAATTATATCTCTGCATATAATAAATCCTGTGAAAGCAACCATTAGAGAGATGACTAGGAAAATACCAGGCATGCAACTGCATGTTACTGTTTCAATTTTACCTGTATATTACTCAAAAAATGACTTTGTTGTTATACTCACTAGGTGGGGATGTATACTTGCTTCAATTTACTTTCTGCTTCAGCTGCTTTCAGACGTTTCTAGTTGAAAAATTAAAACATTAAAATATTTTATTACATTAAGGTATGATATTTCATAAAACTGTACACAATACATCCTTAAATTATTTGTATTTTATGATTTCAGAAGAGCTTCCAAAACAAGCATGGATATCTACACAATAAAAATCATGAAAAACAAGATCTAGAATTTTAGTATTAGTTTGAAATCCTAATATGCTGTCCTTCCCAGTGAAGCACACAGGCCTCACATAGGACAACAAAACTGTAAGAAGGACAATGACAGTTTACATAAATCACATCCATATAAACCTGCATGACACTGTGGCTACCCCTCAGTGGAGAATTAAGTAGAAACTAAATGAATGTAATTGTGTTCCTCATCAGTCATATAACAAAACTTCTTGCCTGCTCTGTCCAACTGAGCCTGAGCTTTTATAACCCAGTACTAGTAACAATAAAGTCCACTGAGTCTTAGAAATAACTAAACACTTACTAGCATTAAATGCCATCAAAACTGTGGCTCAGAAACATAACAGGACAGCTATACTACTGTCAAGATAGTCTGTGAATTTATTAAATCATTACTTTCTTCATACTTGCTACAAATTCACACCATTTTGCATTTCTATAATGTTGACAAGTTTTAGTTATTGCCATATATTATACAAGTAACTGAGACAACAGTTTTTTCAGCAGTGGAACAAGAAATACCAAGTTCAGGTGTCTACAGGTTTTCCAAAACATTTGTATGTAAAAGATGAAGAAAAAGCATTCTTTCCCTGTACTTTCTGTACTCAAGACATTACTTCTGTTCACTTGAGAGAAAAAAAGAAAAAGCAAGAAAGAAAAGGATCTGAATTATGGTCTATTTCATTACAGAGGATAAAAAAGAGGAGGGGACACATTTATAGCCAGAAATAATAAATCAGTACTACCTGTCTTCATCAAGTGATTAAAATTCAGTCCTTCATTTCACCTGCAATAGCCACTTCTCCTCTCTGCTGTACTCCTATTTTTTGATATCCAACTTTTGCCCAGTTTATAATCCAGGAAAATATTTCCCACCTTGAGAAAACTATCATTAGATGACACTGCTCTGAGAGTCCCTTGCCTGAGCCATGAGGTGAGTTACAGGGTTATTCAGCTTTACTGGCCCAGCAGTCTGACTAAACCTCCTGGTGTAAGCTGCCGTTCTTCTCCATTTCATTAAGCTGCCTCTGTATTGTCCATTTATAAAATTGCAACTTTAAGGAGTAATATGCAACAAATAGACTTCTAATCAGTCCATGCCACCATTAATTAATTCCTGTGCAATGAGAGCTCTTTTCCATTTATCTCCAAAACAGGTTTTTTTTAACCCTTACAGCTCTCTGCTGCTCACAGATGCCCAGCTGTTGGAGCTACAGAAGTGAGCCCCATTGACACTGCTGGTACAGTTGCAATCTTTCCCCAGTGCCAGGCTTGACAACACTGCTCTTCCCTCAGCAGGCCCATAGGAAAATGCAAACATGGCCTGCTCTGCCTGCTTGGGTCACTTTTTACAAGAGCAAGGAGAAAGAACAGCAGCAGCACCATGATCCAAGTCTCATAAATTGATAGTTTTAAATCTGAGAACATTTCATAGCCCCAGCAGAGAAGCTCCCAATGGTGAACTCCCTCTGCTTAACAGCAGGACACAGGTTTTCCACAACTGTCTCTTGTTTGTTCTCATATTATTTCCAACAATACAGGACTTGTTTGCAGCCTGAAAGAAGCATGTGCTACTGCCAGGCAACGGGTTGCCACACATTCCTCAGAGCTTCCTAACAAACTGGTCCATTCTACAAAAAAGAATAAATCTTACACCTAACACAAGCGAAAGAGAAAATACAATAAAGGACCAAAAAGGATGAAAGTAGCCCTGAAGCACTGTCAGAATGTAAAGGCATGTGTAGGAAGCTGTATTAAGCCCTGATGGCAGTGTCAACAAGAAGTGACTATATACACACAGATTAAATTTTATCATACTTTTAGTACTGGCATGGGGGTTGTAAGAAATGCAATTTAACAATTGCTTTTCTCTTTTATTTACTAAAGGGAACTATATACTGCCTTCTAAAAAAAAATCATTCAATGGCATTTCTGTATAAGCTATATTTTTATACATTAAAACTATGGCTAATATTGGTCTTTAAAAGCAACAGAACATGTCACAGCTTGAATTCTCACTGACATACCAACTTCTAAGTACCAAGAGAGAGAAAAGGATGCAGAAAGAAAACTACCAATAGTTGCAGAGGTTTCTGAGATTAAGGCCCTGTCTGTTGAAATCTAGAGACAGAACTGGCAAAAGCTGAAGGTTGAAACTGAAAATATTCAGATAATAAACAAAGCAGTTTGTAACAAATCCCTGGGGCAATGTAATAAATTACTGGAGCAATGTAACAAAGAGAGTTGATGCTTTACCTGGAAAAAAAAAATGTACATCTTAAACAGTATTTCGAACAGGTCTTACAGACTGCATTGCAGGGGAGGTCAGACTATATTAATCCAGATTTTCACCTGGGGTCTACTGCTTTCAATGAATTAGCATTTAAAATGAATGTTTATGGGTTTTAAGAAATTTTGTTAAGACTATCAACTCACAAATATCCCAAGAAATAACCACTGCCCTAAATTTGTACTGTTTTCAACAGTGGAAATAAATAAATGAGAGCCAAATGTAATGTATTGCTGCAGTAGAGCAATTTAGCTACCATTTAATGTGTTCACTCTTTTCCTCTTACACAGTCTCAATAAAATCTTTTCCCATTGAATCAGACATTCAAGGAGAACACCACAAATAAATTTTCATTCAGTAGAATCAATCAGTTAATCAAACCTGGCCTTCCTCAAACACCATATATAACACAGTGGTCACAAGAAGTGCCCTCTCACCAGGAATGTTTACCCAAGGCTGAATTAGTTTTGGTAGACAAGTTCAGAGAACTTTAAGATATCTTCCTTTCACTTTGACTTGAAGGGAAGATGTTGTCAAAGCAAGGTGGTAGCAGCACCTCCACTGCCATTAAATTCCCACATTTAAAACTTAGCAAGAATAACATTAGGTAACAATTATGATAAAGAAACCTTTCTTATGCCTGACACAACACATCCAATTCACAGAAAGAAATAAAGGTAATTAAGATTAATTTTTCATGTTAAAACCAATCTAGAACTCAGAGATTGCATTTTAAGATTCAAGTATGTGCACTGACCTTTTTCATTTTTCCATTCCCACCAGTCCCCCCCTGCCCCTCAACATGAGATTTAGAGAATGACTGAAATTTCCACTTTATTACTGAATACATTTTCTCCCTGAACTACATTCAATTATCATTGTTTGTTCTTTTTGGGAAAAAAACCCATACAGATATTGATTTGACTGAACTGTATCAATTTTTACCATTCCAAAAAATCTAAACAAGAGCATGATGAAGTCCTGATCCCTTCTTAGGAAGAATTATAGAAATGCTAACCAGGTTAAAGTTAGGCATTTGGCCTACATGGTTTTATTACTGGCGATCACATACGTGACCCTGAAAGAACATGTCTAAAGAATTCCATCCTGAGTGTATTGCCATGTTCTGAGCAGGACGTTGGAAGTTTATTTAGTTACAAGTAAAACACAGGCATTTATTTACCAGAGCATTCAAGCTGCAGATAACCATAAAGCCTATGTAATTTTCCTGTAACAACCCTAATCCTACAAAAGGATATTCAATGTTAACACACACACACCTTAATTTTTGTAGCAATAGAATCATAACAGAGCTCTAGAGAAATTTACAAAAGGAATCTTAGTCTTTCACCAACTACTCCTGAGCAATTATTTCAGGAAAAAGTCACATTTTATCTGATTCTTAAAGATAATATTCTGCCCAGCCATTAAGAGCTGACAAGATGCACAGCAAATCTGTTGACAGAGCCCTTCTAGGATAAAAATCAACAATGGGAAAGGGGTTAAAAGTGAAATGAATGGTGGTAAACCTAGAAAAATATGTCTTTAAATGGAGCATATTATATACCATTCGTATTATCCATAGAACTAAATGTCCTAGTGATACTCCATGACTCTACCATGCAGTTAAAGACCTTTCCCTTAATTTCCATGCCCTAACAAGATGATGTAGAAATAATTTCAAATAAATGAGAACAACCTGAAGTAACCATCCCTGATACATTTAATTTGAAACAAGTCCAAAGATCCATCTAAGAGTACAGCTGTAGTTATTACAGCATAAAAATTATTTTCAATACACTGTCCATAACATCACTATCAATTATACAGCAAATAAAGGAGCTACTAGCTTAAACATTAAATCGGAAATTAAAACGGAGCCGTTTAAAGTATTTTATGGTCCAAACCAAGGAGTAAATATATAAAGAGTACAATATATAAAAAGTATCAATACTGACATTTTGCCTAAGCCTGCTAAAAATATCCCAGTATTGGTACCCAATGTAATCTTAACATGTTTTTGTTCAACCCAAACAGTTGAAGACTCAATCAAAAGGATGAACAAACACACTGTGTGCAGAATGGTCTCAATTTTGAAATGCTGGTAATGCCAAAGTAATGCTTTGTCCAGAAGTACCAATAAAAGGTTCATCACACCAGCAGCCACTGTAACACAATGTATTTTTGTGCTTCCTTCGGTCCCATGGCAGAGCTTCACAGCCTAAAGCATTTGCTCTGCAGGCCATTTCCATCTGATCCCCTACTGAGGGAGGAACCAGGAATCCCATTGCTTCAAACCAGCATAGAATACAAATAGCTTTAAAAGCTCTTCACAGTCATGGGATGTACAGCAGGCACCAGAGGATTCACCAATGCAGCATGTAACAGCACTGGTCTATACCTGAAAATATTACCTTAGGCTTTCCATAGTATATCATTTCAAGAACACAAACAGATTTTTATGGTTTAACAACAGCACTTTCTTAAAGAATGTCTCAAACTGGTTCATTCTGAAATAGTCATTGAATTACCTGCTGCACATATCTGTCAGTGGTTTTCCACATGTAGTAATATTCAGTGATGCTAGTCAGAGACTTCCAAGGGAGCTGAAAAACATTTTTTACAAATTAAAGTGGTTCCAAGAAATTGCAATGTCAACTTCTTATAAAACACATGTTAAAATCAAGTACAGTTGAGACAAATACTAAAACCTGAATGTGTTAAATAACTGCATTAGAATCCATATGCAAACAAGCACATATTGCAATTAGTAATACACAACCTTTCCTTACAGTTAATAAGTATGCTGAATTGTGGTATCACACATCCAAATCTACATGTAATTTATTCTGTTTATGCCATATAGTTAAACAAAATGATCGAAACATAATGCAGATTTCCATTAGGAAACACAGAAGGTAATATCTCTTTTAAAAAGTGTGTCCATTGGAGAAAACATTAGGACTAAAAGAAATCAACTTGGCAAGACTGTGCTCGAGTCTCATGATAATTTTACTCTTAAAAAATACAAAGGATACCATACATCGTTCAGATTCTTCATGTCCCATAACAACTCAGCTGCTCATACATTACCACTAGTTTTGCATAAACTCCCACATGCTCTCAACTATTAACAAGAAACAAAAGGATGCGAGGGACAAATGTTACCCTGAGCAACACAAGTGATACTGACGATAAATATTTCACAAAAATCTCTGTACAAACAAGGTACCTTTGATAATGACAATTATTTTGGGTGCCCACGTTCATCAGTAAAAAAAAAATGTGTTAACCTAAGTGTAGGGGAGAAAATTAGGCAATCACTTTTAATTATCACCAAATAATCTATTTAACTCAAGGTTTTTCTATAATTTAAATTAGGATGTCTTACCCAAAATTTATGCAATTTTTCTTCATGAGCTGGAAACATTACTTATTTGTGTGTTATATTTTCTAGAGGCATGCATTAATACAAATATTATCTGCTTTCTAGAAATGAGGATGATCTTTAGGAGGTTCCAGTACATACAGGTGTGGAAACTAATCTTTCCAGCCTTACTGACCCAACTAGGCAGATTTCTGCATGTTTTAAGCAAAAAAAAAAAATTTCCTGCACTTTTATTTACATCCTAAAACACCAGAGGAACACCTTCTAAAACTGCCTCTCCCTGTATGCAGGAGTTCACTAGTTTTTCAAGCTGCTTGATTGCTTGATTCAGGTTCAGAGTCAGAATAATTCAGAAGTGTGTGAATCCCTGAACACTTATATTTGATCCAAAAGTAGCAGTATTTGAAATGTTTATACTGATGTCTCAATAAGTAGTAACTAAATTCAGGTTCCTAAAATCCTTTTGTTTTCTCAGGTAAATTATGCCTTGAGATAAATCTTCCCTCAAAAAGGCCAGTGACAAGAAGATGTGTTTGATGTGAGGTGATAGATAAAATTATTCTGTCTTCAGGTCCACATTCCCCCTGGCATCCAGGTGAAATGCTGTCACCCCAACCACTTGCCATTGTCAATTAGTACATTTTAGCATATCCATATTCCTTTTCCTTCCTGAATATTTATTAGCACATTCACACCACAAATGCTTGCCATTTCTCCAGAAAATACTTTGATCTGCTTTAACTATGGCTGTGACACCAGTATGTTAATTTACTCACTAGGTATCTACAATTAAAGGAAGGTAATTAAGATGCTTGGACCAAATAACTGTAATCCTTTTATACTTTGATTCAAAACTTGGAAAAGCTGTTTGACAGACTGAGCACAGATAACCTGTATTCCATTTATCTATGCACTTAAAGCTCTGAACTGCCAGTGAAGCTGTGAGCAGCCATAGATTAATACATTACCAACTTCTGTTCTTGAAAGAAGTAAATATGCTCATCTGCACAACATTTTTGAAAGAGAAAATTAGCAAAAGCTATCAGCTCTACAAAAACAGACAGAGGGGAATTTTAGGTTTCTTTAGTTTCTCCAGGCTAAAAATAGACCAATCAAATCAGCACGAAAAGTTTAGGACTGTAAAGCAGCCTAAAATGAACACGGTAATTTTAAGCCATGTTTTCACAATTCTCTAAAACTGGAAAACAGTTGCTCCTGCTTTCTATAAACAGTCCCTACTCTTGATTACCAAGGTCCTTCCTGCCATATCTGAGGGGTAATAGTTATACATTTGTGAAAACTGTTGATAATGAAAAACTAAGAATTAACAAGTATAACATCTTTGTCCTACTGTTAGGAAAATAGTTACATTTGGAGAACATAAAATATCCATTCTCTTCCCATTCTACTACTCTGGGATGTGAAATGATTCAAGAACATCAAGTAAATTGAATTATCTTATAAGGTTTAGTTTGATTAGGATTCACACAGAGTCTTAAAGACAGAAGAACCTCTCCTACAAGAGTCAATGAGTCAACAATTGATGAAAATTATTATTCAAAAGCTAGATTGGTAGCGATTACAAATGAGCATCTCCTATCTATGAAAAAAAGGTAGAGACCTTTACACCATTTAATTTATAACAATCTTGTTTACTAACAGTTAGTGTTTGTAGCGTAATACTTGAACTGCACATTGAAAATCAAACAGCTGCAATTCCCAGTAACTGCTGGAAAAGTAAATGAATCTGCATTTTACACAACTGTCATGTAAGGGCTGCATAGCAGCTGTGCCTTGCAAATCTGGGCTGACACAGAAAAGGCAACTCCTCTGGGATGTAATGACCCAGGCAGGTATTGTATCACCCTTCTGCTACCAACCTCTTTCTGCCATGCAGCTTGACTTTCTTGCCTGTCCTGTGGCACCACTGCATGAATGCTGAGGTTGGAGTTTAATCTCAGTAGGATTTTATCATTACATCCTATGTGGAGATGCAAAAAAGTTCACAGGTAAACTATCAGTTCATGATCTTCTTTGCCCTTGCTCTTACAGCACATCTAAGAGTACCTAGATACTTATCAGCAGTAAACTTATCAATGGCTTGCCACTGAAGAGAGAGATGATAACAGATGAAAGTATCATCGTGGAAAATCACTGTTTACGTGCTACGCATTTATACCTACCTCACCTTGCAGAAACGTTTCCCATATCTGTGATCTATATCTCAATGGACTATTTTGGGTGATTACTTAAAAAGTAAATGTGTGTTTTCAAATCCCTGCACTTTTAGAATGCTACATAGGAAGTGAGAACACATAAATTTTACACTAGAGAAATCAAGATATCCAAAGACTACACAATGACTAACATAATTGAAAGACTTCAAATTACATAGAATTAAATAAAGACTGTGCACTGTTTTTAGTACCATATAAATTGAGATATAAAATAGATGTTCTTCTGAGGATGTTTTTAAAATGACATTTTTCCAAAGATTAAAAAAAAAAGTGACTAAGAATAGATAATATTCCTGTTCTAACTAAAATAAGCTATAATTAATTAGTGCCCCACATCCATTGTGCTGCACTCTGACTCATGGTTAAGGTGCCCTCAGTAGGCTATGCAATGCTATCACCAGATCTGTGTGTGTCTCCTGCTCTGGGAGGAGACGAGGGCAAAATAGCTGCACTTTGGGAAGGAAGATTTAGTGAAAGAGGGAGGGTACTGGGACAAAACTCTATCAGAGTATCAAGACAAAATTTTAATATTGTAAACAACTTCTAGTAAAGTAATTCAAATATCTAGCATTTGAATATTACAAATCAGAAGAAATTCTTGTGACATGTTACTATATTGCATCACTTCAATACAGTAGTAGGTAAAACAGAAATTTTACAGAAAACAAAAATACCACACAAATACCAGAGAAAAGCCTACTGCATGCTTGCTCACAAATTGTGTTAGGACACAACTTGTAAACAGCCAATAAAAGATGTTATATGCTTAAAGCATTTTCAAAAGCCAAATATTATATATATTATATATTAGGAACCATTTAATTGGAAGACATTGCTCCTGAACTATTGTACAGTTACAAATGAGGACCATTTGTCTGTATAAGAAATAATAAAAAATGTAGTTTACCTTAAGATTTCTGTTCTAAAAGATCTATAAATATTGGTTTTCAATAATATTTTCTTGAACTTAAAAGAGCTGTTTCAGCCATGATGCAACTTTCAACTTTATGTCATCAATGTAATGAACATTTTCTCTCCTAGGAATCTCAAAATTAAGCATGCAGATATAATACACCTATTAAAATGTCAGTTCCTTAGAAAAACAATAGCCTTTGCTTCCCACCTTCATCCAATTACCTGTTCCATTTCAAATCTTTGAAAATGAAGGAAAGACAGCTCATTGCTAAGCCTCCTCCCACTGTCCTGCAGTCTATCTTGTAAGGACTTCTACATTTACCATACAGTACCTTTTCCTCCCCCCTCACAAAGACTATTAATAAATTTCTGCAAAGAAAATTTAGAAATCTGAGTTCTCAGAGTCATGCAGAATGAGATTAATGTGGAAATGTTTCAACTGACTTCAGTCTTAAATAATGGAATGCCTTTGCTTCAAATCTTAACTTTTTCGTGAAGCCCAACTTGAACATGACACAACAGAGAAAATATTTTACCTTGAAAGAAAAAGGCTCTCCACAAAATGTGAAAAAAATTGCAGCAAATTACTAGCAATTCTAGCAATCAGTGTGAGAATCCATTTAATTTCATTGCTTTGCATTAGAATTAGTAAATTAAAAGTTTACTGCCCTATAGTCTGATACTTCAGTACAAAAATGATTGTAGTTAGATCATACTGGGAAACATTTCTTTTACTTTTCAGAACTGCCAAAACATTTACTATGTCAAAACAACTCCCTGTAGTACATTTTAAAACCTATCTGAATACCAATTTCTCTCTGCTAACCATAGTAGAAAACCCCAGCTTTCCAAAAACACCCAGGGGAGTCAGCCAAGTAGCTGCTAATGAATTTCACTGGAAATTGTGAAAATACTCTGCAAAGTTCCTGGATGTTTTTCAGATGATTTTAAGATCCTCAGCATGAGACGTCCTACCAGATATAAAACCACTAAACAGATTATCTTCTGTCACCATCTTTCCAAACAATAGCATTGAACAAGAAAGCATATTGACTTTCAGCCAGATAAAATGTATAGCTATGTTAATCACACTGGTCAGCTACACAGATTTCTCCCCTAGCTAAACCTCCCAAACCTACAGAAAACAGCCATGTTCAACAATGGCAAAACATAGCTACAGGAAAGGGCACTACTTTCATACTTACAAAGTCTTGTCGAATGTCATTGAAGTCCTTGCCATACTTTTCCAAAGCCTCTTCAAATAAACTAGCTTCTGATGCTGACCACTCCTCCATTTCATCTCTACACAAGACAGGCCCTCCCAGTGGCACCAGAACACCGATGGCACTGCTCAGATCATAGTTGTGTTTATGCAGTGTGTCCATTGCGTGAAACTGGCACGGACAAGGAGACAAAAAAGATGTGTTTAAATAGACAGCAGTCTGTCTCAGTTAATGCAAATTCAATATATTATTCTCTATAAACCAAGCAAGGAGCCTCTGTTAATGCTATGTTTAGAATCTATCTTGATATCATAGTTTTCTGCTGTGGAATATGTGGAAAATAAATAGTTTATTACTTAATCTCGGAAAGGAAATACCTTGATAAAATGTTTACCAAAAATGACAGTTTATTAGTTCCTGAAAATTACTAGCAAACATTTCTAAAGAATCTCTTGTTGGTAGAAATTAGTTCCAAGAAACCCAATAAAGACAGTGGCATATATTGACTGTGGGGCCATTTTCAACTAACAGAAACTCTAAATAAAAACTAAACAGTTGCTCAGACCTCTATGAGCTCAATACACTCATTGCTGGAGAAGGAAGACATTTATTGTTTTCATTATCATCGTACTGAAATAGTAGCAAGACTTTTGTCCCTTGCTAAATAAACACTGTTATCACAGACCAGTAAATAAGGTTTCTTTGGTAGATTCCCTTTCTATTATAAAAAAGACAAAACAAACAAATTAGAACAATCTTCACACTGTAGGTAGCACTGAATGCTTCCATTGCTAACCAAGGATGGAGAAAATAAAAAGTAAACAAATTCGCCCATCAGGAAAACGAGCAGCACACAAGAAGCATTTCTGACTCCTCATCCCAAAAGACCCCATCAACACAATCCAAGTGGCCGTGCTGAAGGAGATATCAGAGTTATACGTGTGATAATGTCTGTGACTGTGTCACACAATTTGTCCCACCAGGTTGCTGAGCTCCAAGTGTAGCCTGCAAATTCTCACAAGGCACAAACCCAGCTATGAGAAAACCTTGCAAGGAAGGAGCATTCCTGCATTAAGTGTCAGTACAGCAATTCCAGCTGAGCTTCTGCATACAAATCTACTGCAAACAATGGATTTTTTTTTTTTTTTTGCCATCTTCTATCAATGACTATTGTCTTTCTCCAGTGTTTACTGTAAGTCTTTGAGTGCTATCAAGCACAAGATACTGGAACTGTTTTGTCTGCAAGAAGCAATGTCACTATTATCCTGCAATGCATCATTTTACTTATGGTTCCATCATATTCACCAGCCTGGAGAAAAGCCATTGTTAAAATAAAGTATTCTAATAGGAAAGTATGCAACATATTGCCTAAAATTCATCAGCCTCATATTAGGGAATGTACATCAAAATCACTGATTTATTGTTTACTATTCAGGCAATGAGTAAACCAGGTCTAAAGACTGAACTCTTACAGTAGGTGTGCTACTGAGGTTTAAATATTTGTTTAAATTGCAGTCCTCATAGAAAAGCAGTACACACAGAGTGTCTTCCAAGCAGCTGCTAAATCCAGATCTATTCAGTGATACCAACTTTCATAAAAATGAGAAGTGAATACATCAGAATCTTGCTCTTGCTTTATGTTCATTTTTCATCTATAATAAACACTTGACTCCACAATGGTTTTTTTTTTGATATTGCTAAAGAAAAGATTTATACTGAACTCAGCGGAACTAAGTGCTGCCTTCGCTGAGCTGTCCTGTGACAGAAGACCACTGACAAGTTATTTGATAACAACTCTGCCTTCTACAGGTTTGTCAGCCCTGACCTACATCAAATTTCCACACTGCAATGCAAATTGTGGTAGCAAAAGCATGACAAGCCTGAAGGCATTAGTAGAGGCTGAGAGTAAAAGTCCTGGAATGCCTTCTTTTGATCTGCTTTACCTGAACAATCAGGTAGAGAGATGTGGCATTGCCTCTCACAAACAGGAGCCTGAAGGACAGAAGAAGAACCAAAGAGCCCTTGCCCAGAACATGCTGTCCAGCAGAGACACAGGGGCACATCAGAGGAAAAGTGTTAGCCATGCAGCTAAGTGGCAATTTCAAGCCCAAATATGAGCAGACAGAGGAAGAAACTCTCCACCAAAAGCTAAGGAAGGGCTGCATGGAGCTGCAAGAAAGGGCATCCTGCAACCAGCCACACAACACAGCTCCCATTCCAGACTGAGCTGCCTCAAAGAAAGAACTCAAACTGGAAACTGAGCAATTCATACTTTAAATGTGTTTACCTTAGGAGCCACATATAAGGAAGTCTAATAAAAATCATTAAGACACCATCCAAAATGAAAAGGAAAAGACTGTTCAAACTTTTCATTTTGAAGAGACATCCAATATCAGATTTAGGTCCTTACAATAAGGTCACATAAGCTCTTCTGAACAAACCCACCACAAGGAGCAAGTGTTGCCATCAGCCTGCTTTGCTTTACATGGCTTTCATGGTCAGTATAAGCACTATAAAGCATTTAGGAATCTGAAACAGAAGGTCTTCCAAGTGTCTTTCTCTTCTTAGAGATCAGTTTTCATTATAAAATAAAGTACTGCCTTTGAAAAGGCCAGAAATGCAAATTTTAGTTGGTTGTCTCACAAGTCTTTACCAGTGTAAGAGAAGCATATTAGCATCTAAGAAGGTAAACACACATTGTTTCATGTCTTCTTTAGGGTTTTCTAAAAGCAGGGGGTTTCCTATCTTATCTCATTACCTTCCATATGTTTTCAAAATAAAGGAGCTTGAAAGCAGCTTCTCAGTGTTATTCATCTGCAAGAAATGTGTACATCAACCCTGAATTTATCTGTGTTCATCATCTAGGCTTTTTTTTTTTTAATATCAGTTTGTTTACCGTTATCTCTGATTAAAACTAAATAAGATTAAAACTTAATTAGGAATACTGGAAAGCCACAGGTGTGGCACACTGAAATCCTATTAATATCACCTCAGATACAAGGGCTATCTTCCTTGCATTAAGAAGATAGATGGTATAATTTTCTTAGTGTTATGCACCTACATGCAAAGTATAAAAGAAATATACCACAAGTTCTGCAAATGTCTCTACTAACTTTAACTGCTGCTGAAAATATGCTCTCAATTAGCATGGAAATGTCTGAAAAAGTAACTATTATAATGACAAATATGTCTTTTCTTTATTTAGAAGGAAGTACGTTGCCAAAAAGCTAAAAAGTAGGGTTTTAAAAAGCTGAGGGAGTAGGAAAATGAGAACAGACAGACACAATAATTAAGGCTAGGGTGGCTCCTTTGATGCCTCATTATAAGATATGCCTTTCATTAAGTGTAATGGAACTTAATGGATCATTTGCAATGGAGAAGCATTAACGTGGCACTCAAAGTATCCCTTTATTAGCAGCATTGCACATGTACTTTCAAATGAGAAATTGCCATAAGGATAAATCCAATCTATTGAATACTGAATACAGGATGCAAATAAAGAAGGGATATGCAATATGTGAAATTGATTAGAAATTCTTAATCCAACAAAATATTAATAAAAAGAAAAATGTTAAAGAACTCTTTTGATGAACAAAATAAAGTACTTAATGTGAACAGAATTGTGCTGGTAAAAGTCATATTAGCAACTGTGAAACAGAAAATTCATTTTGAGTATTACTGAAAACATTACATTTTGCCCCTACCCTTATGATGCTATGGTAGTCCAGACTAAATCAGTTTCCTGTTCAACAGTCTACACTGCAAAAGTGTACTTAAAAAATAAATATTTTTCTCACCATAATAAAAAACTTATTTTATCTGAAATGCAAGAATTGTCCCACTCAATCAGACCACCCTTTTAACTAAGCACTGTGTCTCTTACAGTAGCACCAAGGAATATTAGATAAAACATTCAAGTCTAATCACAGTCTAAAGTAAATTCCCATTTCATTGACCAGCATGTACAAAGTTTCAGAATAAGGACATTTGGAAGGTATACCTTTCCCTATTCTCCTCAGTAGCAATTTATGACCTATATGGTTACATAATTTTTCTAACCTTTTTTTAACCTGCTGGTACTGCTCATTCCCACAAAATTTTGTGAAACTGAATTCAAGTGGCTTTCTATTCACTTTGTAAGCAGTGCCTTATCTATTTTGAACTAATCTCTTAGTTTTATTGAGTTTCCTCTCATTTTAATACTCCAGTATCTTGTAAATAGCAGGTCTTCTTTAGCCTAAACTGTGATGGTGTTTAGGTACAAAAATACCTAAAATAATAAAACAACAGTTGATTTCTTTGGAAATCTAAGTCAAACTTGATTATCTGAAACAGTAATATTTTTGGTCTCACAATGTTTCTGGCATACTTTATGTACTGTAGCACACCTTCTCAGCTAGTATGATTATACAGAAACAAACCTGCAATCAATATATTTTCACTTTCTCTAAAAGATGCCGGTGCTTACATTAACAGTGAACAGTACACTAAGAAAGCATTGTAGGAATATGCTAATTGAAATGTTCTTTAAAAAAATGCTTACAAAGTCAGACTGCTTATCCTTTATAAAATATGATGACATATACATCTAGTAAGTACAAAGTATTGTCCACACAATATTCAGTCATCTTTATTACCAATTACTTGAAATGACACTGCCCTGAATCAATCCCTACACAATGTGTATTATCCACTCTGCTGTGGGTTATCCACAACTAAAGCCAAGTGTTGCACTGTGTGATTACAAGGGCAGCACTGAGAATCTTAAAGGAAACACACAGGATTTTCTAACATACACACATACCCCTTGCTTGCAGGTAACTAAGGACAACAGGCGGAAAATGGGGACTTTGGAGTATCAGATAGCATTGAATTAATGGATATAGAAGTGTAGGATGTTTAAGAAGCCACCTACCAGTGTGATGTCTCGGGAAGCTGCAGCTGCACTCATGTGTAAACTGGGTTGCCTGACAGAACTACTGCAGTCCAAGGCTCGAGCAAACGTGCCCACCGCGCTGCAACAGAGGAACAGGAGCAACAGTAAATACACAGAAAGATGAAATCTCAAATATCAGACTGAGCCATATTTACAAAAGTGTCCTTTTACACATGGGAGTCACATACTGTCATGTTACTGTTAAGTTTTCCGATTTTTGCTAACAAAGAACAACTTGATAAAGACAAATCTCTAAACACTGCAGCAAAAGCTTTGACCTTCCCCCAAAAGTAACAATGTACAAATAACAGCAGCAGCTCAGAAACAAAAAATACTCAGAATTCTGATGTACCAGCCTCTTAATGTATAGAATTTTCAATTAATTATGAAGTCAAAGGTTCTCCACAGTTTGACGTTTACAATCAGTACTATTATTTCTAAAATTATAATGCTATAATAGTGCTTCAAAATTATAATTCAAATTAAAATGGGGGTTCACCATGTCCCCATGAGGAAATTAAAAACATTTCATTCACTTCACTAGTATATGTCTACTACTTCCATTAGTGAGCCAAAAAAAGCATATTAGCTAAGGTACCCCCAAAATTCCTGATGCTGACACAGGTTTCAAGCAATAATGAAATAAATTGATCTCTCAACCTACTTAATTAAAGCATTATTGATTAATCTGTTATTGAAATGGACATATTTTTCCAAAGCTTTACTTTCTTTTCCACTTTTGTTGATGAATTGTAAATGGCATCTATTACACTTAGACTGTTCTAAACTGTAAATATTTCTTGGAGAATGGTAAAACATTTCTCGGAAGTACATCTACATATCACGCACAGTGAAGGAAAAGAGAATTTAACTGGGCCTAGTATATCATATAAGAAATGAGCAAAGATGCAGTGACACAAAAGATTATCAATAAACAGATCAGAAGTGTCTCCAGTACCTGGATTTGTATAATGACTCTTGAGGTGCATTCAGAAAAAAACCTGTTTATTGCAGTTATGACATAACCCCTTGTAGATGCAAAGACCCAGTTACAGCTGTAATGCAGTGCAATCCTCTGGTGTAGGGACTCAAGCAATTATATCCCACACAACTTACAAGCACAGAATTATACCAATGGTGAATGTCACTGACAAATAAACACACTTCACTGTATCCTCTAAATCTGATATTCAACAGTAAAACAGTGTGCATTAAAACTTTAACTCACTGAAGTTATAAATGATCTTGGAGAAACTGATAAACTACACTACCACAATTTTATCTTGAATCTCAAAAAATGTATTACTGAATAAATGTTTCAGTACTTGCGGCCACAGTCTTACAAGAAAAGATTTAACAGCAGTGATTCAGTATTAACAGCTTTTCTAAAGGCTGTGGAATAAATAAGTCTTATTCAAATGTTTTTCCATAACCTTTTCTCCCTCTTTGTGGAGAAGGCAAATATAAGACGAGAAAACACACACACACATTCTATTTTTTTTCCAAACCTTGGCAGTACATGAAACAGTATTTGTCCACAAATTACTCCCAAGAATAAGGCTCTGTTATGAACACATTTCCTGATAGTCTGTCAACCTCTTTCAACATGTTGGCATTGATAAGGGCTGTAGCTAAGCAGCCTTTCCTGTGATCCTTCTGTTCCTACTGCTCAAACCAGTGAATGTGGCATGCCTGCATTTCCCTTCTGCTGCTACCTGCTAGCTTCTTATCGTCCTTTTGCATAATTAAAATTTGTTTGTTTTCACCACATTTCTAAAATAAAGTCTGAGTATGCTATGAACACTACAAAGAATGTTCTCACAGTCATTCTCTGGCAGATCAAACTTTTGAGGCTGACTTCAGAGCCCAAGAGTATTTTGTTGCTCAGAATGTAAAGTCAAAATTAAGATAAAATATAAATAATAACATAATTATTATTATATTATTAATAATAATATTAATTTTGAATAGAGAGGTAAGAACTGATGCATCAGTGGACATGGCTTCCAGTGCTGCACTGAATAGGAGAAGTTTGCAACCATCAGAAGAATGCTGTGTGGAATTTTGGAGTACATGGGTGCAAAACAAATCAATAATAAATGAAACACACAAAGACAAAATAAAATAATGAAAACGGTAGAATAAAAGATAATAATAAAGATGGCATCAAACATAATGGAACAAATATGATAATAACAATAAGAAAAAAACAAATAAATAACACATAATAAAATACAGGCAGGGTCCCATTTGGGGTGTCAATGGTGACAGGACAGGGGGTGGGGATGGTACAGGACACAAACTGGGGAGTCTGGAGGTGTGAGGTGTGCTCATGTCTGTGGGCTCCCTTGAAATCAAACTAACTTCTAGTTCTCCTTTCCATAGAAACTTGTTAAAAACAGTGAATTTCCAAGTAAGTGTAGAAATTCTAGAGCATTTTGCTGTTAAACAGTAACTAGATTCAAAATTAAATAGTGATATACAGTGTTTTATATAATCTAGCTATGCAATTCACATCCAAATTCAATATTAATTTTAGACAACACTGAAATACCCTATCTTTGGTGTTTTTCAATTAAAAGTACAGATATGAGGTATATATTGATGCAAATGTCAAAATCTACCTTTGTCATTTTTCCTTGCATGATTTCTTTCTAATTCCACTATTCAATTGTTTTAGAAAAGGAACAAAATAAATAACTAACCAATGCCATTTCCAGAAGACACAGTATTATCTTCATCTACCTAAAATAAAACTCAGTATTAAGTCAACACAAGATAAAGAGTCACTAACCACTCAGTTTTCTTAACAAACTTTCAATATCAATGTCTTGTTACGCTTGTAGAATTCAAAGAATAATTGTAAACAGATAACTGAAATTATATTTAATTCAATAATAACTATAATAAACTGACAACCCAAAAAAGTGTGCTCAGCAAGCTACTTATGAATTATTCAATGTGTAATTAAAATACTTGGACTTCAAACAGAAACAAACACTCCCCATCATTTTCCAAAATAAGCTAAAGCCAAAAGTCACACAGACAGTGAATTACACAGGTGGCAGAGAGATGGACAACAAAAACAATTGGAATTATCAGCAGGGAGAGCACTCCCTGCACAGCCTGCACTAGCAAGCAGCTATAAGAGCTTTAAGGGTTAGACCAAATGATCCAGTGTTACTTTAATTTGGTTTTCTGTTTTCTTTGGTTTAATTATCTTAAAGAGCAGAACCAAGAAGATTTATAACAGATTGCAGATGACAACCATACAAACAAAACAAATGCATAGAGTCCAGTGCCAGTATCTAAGATTATGGAATAAATCCACAAATTCAGCAAAACTCAACAAGGTCTATGTCCAAAAATCTGAGAGATGGCTGCACTTGCTATGTCTCTGTGCCCTATATTTAGGCAAAATTTCAGACTAGATTTTGAACACAGAAGATGCATTGCTCCAAATTACTTATAGCTCAAGTCTAAGACATTAAAGGAAATAATTATTCAAATTTTTGCGTAAGATAAAATAGTAGTAGTCAAAGAAATTAAGAAGCAACAAACACAAGAGACTGTCCTAACAAGCTTCAAAAGGTTTGGTGGCTCATCAGTAACTAGTTCTGAAAAGGGGTATTTTTTATCAAAGAAAATCTGAAACCACTGCAATTGCACATCAGGATAAAAATAGCCTCTGTTTCTCCCAGTAACAACAGCAATCCAGCATCAAATCAGGTCCAGAAAGTTCTGGATGCAGGCAAGTAACTCTCAATTTCCTTCTACCTTGCATTGAAAATCCAGTTGAGACATACATTCTTCTATATCTGAGGATGTTTATTTCAAAACAGTTCACTTGTTTTTTAATATTGCTTGTCTGTTTCACAAGTAGTGGGTATACTCTGGACAAAGCTGTTGGAAGTGAGCCACGTCTGTGCATACACGAATCTGCAAAACCACAATTCTCCACAGACTAATCAATGAGACCTATGCCTCACCTCTGAGCTAATATTTTTGAGGAAAACAATTAAGTGATCTTTGGTGGTTTTCTATATATTAAGAAAGGAAACCTTTCTTAATATATAGGATATAGGATGCTATATATATATATAAAATATACTATATATTATATAATTTATATATATATTATATTATTGTTATTATATAGTATATATATTTTATATATATAATTTTTATATATATTATATATTATAATATATATAAATACAAGGATGCTTTGTATTCCTTGTCTTTACTCCAATGTTTCTCTTCACACTGAACTGTAAATGGTCCTAAAAAAATGACCTCTTAGACTGGTCTGAACTTAAAAACCAGCAAATTAATAACTGACTGCTCTTTAAGAGAATATAATGATATTTAAAATATTGGAAAGAAAAAAAAAAACATCTTCAGTGGAGACACAAGCAAGCAACAAAACAGTAATTTAAAACTGAAAATACAGGTGAGATTTTTACTACTCCGTTCTGAGTAGTAAAAGTCTGACTTGCAGAATATATTCAAAGTAAAAAGATTCTGTTAAAAAAGATGTTTTCTTTGCATTCCTAAGCAACTGCCTGTACAGTGCTATGCTTCATTGTATCACTTCAGATATTTACAGCACAAAGGGAGATGGCATGATAAACATGAAAAGTCACCCGCCACTATTCTTTTGCTGAAAGACGTTCAAAGTTAGAGTAAGTGTAGCATGATATATAAATGTATGATATGATCAACCTTCACTTTCATTGCTATATAAATAGAAATGAAACATATGTGAAGTCTTTCTTATTCAACAGAAATAGAATCTGAAGATAAAAGTAGTTTAATTCACAGGATGTTATTTAATGCATCATCTCTATGCTATCCTGCAATTTCATAGTCACAGAGGAGGAGATGTACAGCCCCCTAAAAGCAGATCCATGAAAACTCTGCTAGGGAAATTTATTCTTTATACTGCCATAGATCAAGGATCATTAAAAAAAAAAAATACAAAAAGAAATTCAGCTCCAAGTCTGAATTAGTTCTTTTTAAATGAATTTAGGTCAAGAAGTACAGTAATACCAATACACAAAGGAATAAACATATACTAGCCAGGCATGACAGACAGGCAGAAACACAGTATTTTTGATATGCCTGGTAAACTTGATGCAAACATATTTTTCCTTTTCACTGCCAAACCATCTGGCTACCATTAGATGCTGTAATTCACCTTGCTAGGAAACATCCAGTTTTGTGAGCGAAGCATTGGCATTGAGATTTTTCACCATTTCTGCTGCATAATTTTATGTTGCAATTCTGCCATTAAATTTAATTACCTCTTTAATGAACTTCAATTCCTTTTACTTCTCAGCACCTCCAGAGAATCCAGAAGCACTGTAAAACTGAAGACTGCAAACCAATGTCTTTTGTGTTTGTTTTCATTTATGAGCTTTGGGAATTTTGGTCTACTGCCACTGATTACAATGAATTATTTCACAAGAACACAGCACTGCTTTTTGATCACACCTGTAAATGTTTTTACTCATGGTTCTCAGTTAATGAATGCATTATTTTCCTCTGTATAATGAAAGACACCTTGCCAGTTGAAGCTGCATTGTGTTCCCTTCCCCACTGTAAGATAAATTAATATAGCAATCATAGAACATCTCCAAATACACCAACATATTGTGAGCACTCATAACTTAGTAGTCAACAGAAAATGAATATAATCAATGTCCTGGAGCAAATGGAAAAGTGGGAACAACACAGGAAGGATCAAGCTCTAATTTAACATGGCTAACAAGTAATTTTCCATTCTTCTATAATTTTACATCAAAAAATAAGCAGGCATTCAAATTAAGAGAAATATGTCAGATAGAGATATGTAATGCCATTTTAATATCACAGAAATCAAAGTACAAAAATTTAAGGTATAAATGCAATGCTTCAAGGCTATTTTAATTAGATTTCAAAATTCTGGTTTAGTTGGGAATAAGCTGGGAACACAAATGTCTGTAAAATATCTTCATTTAGAAATATATTCCTTTCAGAAGGCTATGTCGATAATTTAAGTTAGCTGAAGCAGAATAAAGAACTACATTCTTAATGGTTTCACTGAATAATAAAACACAGAAATGGAACTGAAGCATACCAAAAATGTATCATGCAATGAATTGTAGACCAAATTAGCAGATTGAAAGAAAATTTTAGGAAATCAAAAAAAAGGGTCATTTCTTCAGCTCTCAGCATCTGTCCAGACCAGAGCCCACACCTCCTATTGCATTTGAGACTGGGAAGGATATTTTGTAGACCAAATTAGCAGATTGAAAGAAAATTTTAGGAAATCAAAAAAAAGGGTCATTTTTTCAGCTCTCAGCATCTGTCCAGACCAGAGCCCACACCTCCTATTGCATTTGAGACTGGGAAGGATATTTTTTTACTCTGAAATACCAAAAAAGATAGGACTATTATGTTATAGAGACAATAAGAATGCTTCTATTCCATAACACTGTGCAACTTGGGACAGAATTAGAAAAGAACGTAAGATCTGGCAATGAAATGAAGTACTCCTTGTATATTAAAAATTATAAGAGACTGATGACTGGAGAAAACAGAGTTTATTTAAATCAGTTCAAATTAGGAATGCTATCCCCAGCATTTTTACCTACTTCATTTTAACCAACAACAACAAAAAAAAGTATCTCATAGCATACAAACTGGGTTCCTGTTAGAAGCAGTTCCACACACTCACAGATATTTAGTCCACAGGACTTGATTAGAGTTATGACAAAAAAATCTGCTCAAAACTCAGCACCAAACATTTCAATCCTACAAATCCATTTCTACTATACTGAACTATTTACTAATGTGGGCAGATCCAAGTGGCTGTTGCAGCTTCTCAAACTCCTGCCCTTTGAAGCTGGCAGACACAAAACATGGCCAATGTATAGGACAGAAGGAAAACTAGCTGGTGCAGTTGTATCTTATTTGAATGTGGTAGAAAATGCTGTTAGACTTTTCATTATCACAGCACAAACATTACCCAATAGACAACTAAAACCCAGAATACATTAGTCTGAGGCCTCAAGCTTCTCCTAACAGATGCTTTTGCTAGTTCAAGCAAGAGTCTTTACCCAAATTATGCTTCAAAGATACTTTCAGGATTTGTGTGTCAGGCAAGACTACTTGGGGAGGCCAAATTTATGGATCCTTTTTTCCAAATCTCCACCATTTTTTGGCACTGTTTCCTCTAATTTCTGCACAGGATACGCATTATTCTTCTTCCTTTCTACCCAGGAAATTATTGAATAGTAGGGCTTAGTGAGAGGTCCAGACTGATCAGGCATGTAAACCTAGGCCTCTCATTCCCAAGACAGTAAGACAGGCAAAGCTACATGTACAAGGTAAAAATATAAATATACTTGTTAATGGTTAACACAAATAAAAAGAGTATTTAAACAACTTCTGAAAAAACAACAAAGCTGTCTGTGAGATTAAAAAATGCTTAAACATTTAAGGACAAAATAAACTCTTATTTCAACCAGATCAGACTGGGAAAAAAAAAAAAAGATAATAAATACTCAATTCCTTCAATACAGCATCTGAAAAGGATCACTTGAAAATTCTTTTAAAATATAAAACACAATAGCATACACATCCTCAATGAAAATCACACCCAGGAAGGTATTTAAGAAAAAGTTATTCTTGTCATATTTTCAAATTTGCAGATCTAAATATAACCAGAGAAAGATCATTCCAACTGGAAATCCAGCAGCCAACACCTAGCAAACCACAGTTAGGCTGCAGCAGAGCTGTCTGTAAGCACTGTTCACATCATAATACCAGCTCTCCACTGCTTCTCAAGCATCTTTTAATGGTCCTGTATAATGGCTGAATATAAATCCTGTAACCACACAACACACTGAATTGAAAGCTGCCACCAAATCATCACAGAACTGTTTCTCCAGAAATTCAGAAAAATCTGCCTCAGAAGCCACTTAGAGCATCCTGTGAAAACAAGTATACAGGAGTTTGGAAACTATTTCTGTCAGTTGAAAAACAACTTCTAAAGATGAATGGAGTTCTGTGCAAGAACATCCACAAAGCTGCACTGAGTAATAGCTGATTACAGATGGCCATCCAAGTACCACAAGACCTTGGATAGTAACAACTAATCAGGCATGATCCACTATAACAGAAACCATCTTTACAGGAATTTGTTGACTTTAAAATAAATGCAGTCTTAGTCAGGGCATAGCATTGCAAAGGATGTCTTAAATAACAGGAGGAGAGAAGGATATTATTTTTATGTATTTAATTATTCTCTGTTACTTCCCAGCAGGCTGCTTACTGCTACATTCCTCTGGAAACATTTTCAGCTCCACAGAATACTACTTCAGCTCCCCAGAGCTGCTGATAAACAGTGAGTACAGGAATTTAAAAGCAATGAATTAACTCTTCCAAAATTCAGTCTTCATGCAGATGTTTATTTAGGGCACACCATAATAATCTGGCCATACATTTCCAGGTATTATACTGCTGGTGAAAAAGCAGTTCAGATTCCTCGTTTCTATGGAACATCTACCAGACACTGTGACTTTCTGAACACCTGTTAACACCTAAACCCCTCTGTCTTGATTGAAAATTCATCAAAAACAGGTAAGAAAAAGTCTTTGTACTTTATAGAAAGGATACAACATTCCAACTGGGAGAATAAGGAATAAAACCAAGTGGATCAGCATGTGAACTGTAAATTAATAAATCAGCATCCCATACCATTATACACATAAGCTGAAAAATATAGAACAACTTTTTTTTCTTTTTTCCTTCCTGAAATGTTTTTCTCAAAAGGGAGAAAGAAAAAAAAACCCAAAAACTAGAACCCATGTAAAAGGATTATTTGCCTAAAAAGATTTGAGATCACACTCTGCAAGCAGGTTACAAAAAATACAGGAGATGGATTTTTTCAGGATAAAATCCATATGTGAAGTGTGTTCTCAGCTATCATTAGAGCAGTACCTTTGTAACTATGAATTAGAGAAAAGGCAAAACCTGCTGTATCCTATGAATGTAGAATTGCCCTTCAGTAAGAAATCCACAAAATTTGAAGGGATTTTTTTAGGTAGAGAAATAATTTCTAAAATTATTTATTAATTCAAAGCACTTTGATGTCTTCATAAGTCTGCATAATCATGTTAATTTATTAAATTGAGCTGACTTGACTTTTTTCACTAATGAAACACATGTCTTCAAAACTTTATTTCAATATTCATCCAAAATAATTACTCAGCTTACATGCATACGTGGCAAGTTCTGCACCATTTAATTTGTTAATATTTTCTATATTTCTACTCCTAACCTCTATTTTACACCACGAAATTCCAAGTACTGTAAAACACAAGACTGTATTATTATTAGCACTGAAATAATTTACTCTGAGGAGAAAGCAAACAGATAACTACATTCAAAGTATCAAATTCTACTGTAACCTGAAATACAGGGAGTGTATCATTATTCCAAAACTCTCTTTTTCTGTCTCCTGTATTGGTAGCTTCAATAAATATACAAAGGGTCATGGTCTGATTTTCTCTTTTAGCTAACTGTGGGAAAGAGAAGGGCTCACAAAATGGCAAACAGGATGAATAACACAATATAGGGGAATAAATAGTAGAAAAATGAAAAGGATTTTTTATGAGAGGATTTTAATCTTACCGTGCTACAACTAAAAACTGGTCAATCTGACGGTCAGTAAGGGGGCTATCTGGATCCCATACTTTAACTTCCAGCTTTGCCTGTTCTCTGTCATCTAATTGTCCTGTCAAAAGGTAGATGGGACAAAACACTTATTACTCACAAGGTTTTCCTTTGTGTAGTTCTTGCACAACGTTTAAAAGAGACATTGTATATTTTTAAATATATACACATACACACACACATGGAGTACTTAACAATCACCAGCAGTTATCCAGTTAAATTCCATAATGCAGCATCACCAAAATAAATACCTTCCCTTAACATCAGCATTTCAATCTAAGGAGAAATTCTTAGGAGGTGCAATACAAATGAACCGTAATAAAATGTTATTATAAAGTTGAAAACATAACTTAAGTAACCAATGACTTCTTTAAATTGCTTGTTCTACTTAATCCATACTAAAATTAATTTTACACTTAATCAACTTTAGCCACTAAACTCTAATTTGTATTCTATGCCCCAAAAAATAAATCATTATGCAAAAATGCTGTCTACTGTATTTAAGCATTTTTTACCTCTTCAGCCACTACATTATCTGTATTGTTAAAAACAAGAAAGTTACTATATACTGCATCCTCATTTCCCAAATTCATTTATGTGAACAGAACAATTTGTGTACATGCACATGGCTGAAACAGAGGAGGTGGTTTCCAAAATTTATTTTGCCCTGTATTCATTGTAACCAGAGTATGACATTTGTACTGCATGGAAGAACAGTGAAGTGTGAATTTGGTACAAGGATTCACATTCATAAGACACTCTTCACCTTGTCTTGCCTATTACACCAATAACTTTTCCTGTAAAATAAGAAATATTTCGGAGGCTGATGGAGGAAGCACCACTTTTGCTAGCAGTACAAGGAGATTTCCCTGTGGGATGTTGCCAACACATTTGTGGCCACAAGAGATGACAACAGTCAAGTCAGAATCACTGTCTTTCCCTGTTGTTTTAGAACAGGAGTGTGTTCTTCCCTCAGCCAACATGTGAAAACCCCTAATGTTTAGCTGGTTGCCAGTACTTGTCTGTGACTTTTACAATTTACTACAAGAATGAAAACCTGTTGTCACATCCAGCCACTCCACTCCCCATGAAAACATAAGCTGTGTAGATACCTCTGATCACACAGAAGATCACTTTTGCCTGTGCTATTTATCTGACTTAATGAAAACAGCCAGTCTAAACATGCTCAGTACCATCAAGACATGAAATAACCTGTACACTTAAGAGACTGGAAGCAGACTGCAAACCAAGCACTAGCTCTTCTGAAATCACATCATATATGATGACTTCTAGCAGATTGATTCTGGAAATAAATTAAAACATGGTATATATCCCTAGCAAACACACAAGTTAGAACTGCACCATGCTGTCTGGGTAATGTTTCAGGAACAAATTTCATAGTCACATTCTCAGAAAAACACAGTAAATTACTTTCTTCCAATACACAGGCAACAAAGCATTGGCTGCCTAATGGGACTTCAGCTTCTGTTCAAGCTAATTCACATCCAATACTGAAGACAAACTGTTAATTTCTGGCATCTTGGAAAGGATTTTAATCTATAAACTTATTCTATCGATTGTACACCTGTCAATACATTCATTTCTTCCATCTGTGACAGACACATTGTGGGTGATGTTCTACATTTTATAAATATTCTCTGAGCACTTCATTTCAATCTGTTAATATTTCATTTTTAAATACCTTAAATTTTAATTAACCATTTCAGGACATCATAGTCTGGGGATTAAACATTACTCAGGTAGATTATATTTCTCATAAAGAGAAAACATCATACAAACATAGCACCAGTATTAAAACAAAACGTGTCACTCTTCTGAATGAAGTTTGCAAAAAAGAATTTTAAAACTTTGCAATATTACAGATCTTCCTTCAACTAGAGGAAATTAAACAGTTGCTACTATAAAGTGTTGTAACTCTTGATAAAGAGGAATCTGAAATATTACTAAGCAGCATTTTATAATGGCAGGAGACATAATAAGGATACAGGCAATGAAATATCTATACCACAATAATCTAAACACATGCAATAATTGCAATATTAAATATCACTATAACAACAGTAGACAGAGGTTTCCAGAAAATGGGTGGAGTCTGCCAAGCTTCACGTTAAAAAGCTACTTAATTCCCAATTTTCTGCTTACATGGCACGATATAAACAGGGAAAGTAACTTAAACAGAACAAACCATGGAGGCAGTCAAACAGTGCTGTAGAAACCCTAGAAAAGTTCATTTTGGAAATAAGTATTTTGCTAAATTCCTTTGCCTGTGCTGAAAACATCAGTATAGAAGGATCACCTAAGATAAACAGGTCTTTCAAAACAATGATTATCAACCCTCTGTGTTCTACTTGAGCTGTCAATCCTTAGCTGATCATGCCTGTACCACATCCTATAGTATTTTTAACTTAGCAAACCACTTTAAGATGCAATTTCTCTGCTAGCACATCAACATTTATCTTCTACATTGTTGAATTTGACACCAGATAAGACATTCAAATGGAACAGATGATAAAGTTGTCATAGTATTAATTTGTTATATTGCAAAACCCAGCTCACAAAGGAATGGGGGAGTTTTACTTTCACCATTTTCAGTGCATCTGAGAAGCTCAGTTTTAAAAGTACCACCTTCCCTTACCACCAGCAGCATACCAATTACAGCTTCTGAGAAGTACCAGGCAATTTTTCTGAATAACTGATATTCCATACCAGTATATCCAACTTATTCTAGTCACTGCTTATAATTTTATTACAGCCTGTCTAACCCCGATGACTAATTTTATTGGAAAACATTAGTAGATTGTCAGAAATACAACCGGTTTACTCTTCATCAATCATTCAACTCCTTATTTCTCATGGGGGTCTACTAGTAAAAAGTAAGATTTTTCTTCAAAAAAAAAAGTTTAAAAGTTTTGTATTTCAGTCAGTCATTTTAGACTAATGAAAGCATGATGTGCCCCTCTAAAAAAAAAAGGAAGAAAAGATTTACAAAACAAATGTAAACCAAATGTATTTAAAATGAGCTACAAGAAATTAAAAATCTACTTAGTCTCTTAGATTTCATTTCCTGCAGATGAATACCCCAAAGATAACTAGTACATCAGATTCAGCATGATTCTATGTTCTTCTTGAATCCAACTAAAAGAAAATAACTTTCCATATAAACTCTAAACAGCTTCTTAGAGTGAAATTCTTTGAATTTAAACATAACAATAATGCAATATAATATATTATTAAGAAACTGAAATATGAATCTCTAAGTTATGTTTTATCTTTAAAATGGTTGTCAATGAAAAAATACAAATTTAATTTTTAATGAAAAAAAATGATGAGGTATCTGATTTTAAAGACATCTCTGATCTATAAAGTTTTATTTTTGTATTTTGCACAATTTTTCAAAAAACCTTTTTATTCTCCTTCTCAAAAAGTAATTCAGCTGTGAATTCAATTCCAACATGCAAACTACACACCTGGAATGCTCAGTTTTCTGTATAAATTCAGCTTTCAGGATATGCAAAACAGCGGTGCCAGCTGCTGAATCCCGAATTCCATGGGACAGAAAATCTGTAGCTGTGGGGTTTCAGTGATAGTAAGGCAGTAGATCTATCCATGGACAGAACTGGACACCAGACCAAGAGTTTCAACCACAGAGTTCCTCCTAGTTAGAAAATTCATTTATTCATACAACCTCCTGAAATGAGCCAGTTTTGATGTGTGTGTCAATTCCTCAGACTCACCAGACACCTAAGCAGATAAATGTGGAGGCATTTGTAAAAGCTCATGTTCTTAATGCTTAGCACATATATAAGAAGTTAACCCAATGTCTTAATCTCTGTGTTTTAGTTTTGTACTTGTGGAACAGGAATATCTCTCAGTTAACATTGCAAGGATGAGGAAGAGAGGTATTTACTTGTTCTTATCCTCCCTAGATGATTTCAGCATGCAACACAAAATTTCTTTCACTGAAATATGGATTTAGCAGATAAAGCATTTAGCAGGTTGTTGGCAGAACTCTTTGGGAGTATATTACCTGCAGGTAATCCTAAATGCTTTTTTAAACATAGTTTCATGCACTGTTTGTGCACCATTGTTGTAAAAATAGGCAAATAATCAGTGAAAATGAAGTTTCAGTTCATTAATCACATTCTCATGCTGATATTTAGACAGTATGCAAACATTTTCTCTAAGTTCCAGAGGAGAAAAACAGAATCCCATTGAATTTTCTTGTGCTGTATATGAACAAAGTTCCAGACATTAAACCTGTCTATCTAATGTAAAATCCGAGCTTTCTCCTTGGATGAAAAGTACATTAGTTCCTCACTAAAACAGTCAGCATATTCATCCTGCATAAAATTCTTATTACTCATTTTTATTTTATTTTTTTTTTATGATTTGCAATTCTCACCAGTACAGATAAAGAAATTCAGAAGGAAAGTTCAAAAATTTACAGTAAACTCTTCAAAAAATATAATGGAGTCATGACTTCTCTGATCAAAATAACATGAAAAAGCTTAGATGAAAAGCATATGCAAAAGAAAAATTATTTGTTTACCTCTGAATTCCAAAACAATCTCCTCTCTGCCTTGCCTGACAGAGGTATATTCAAATTAGGAGTTATATGTTTACATAAACCTCATGGTAAAAATTCATGAATGAGAATATGTATAACATATTATAACATGTATACATGTATGACATGTATAAGGACTAGAAATTAAAGCCAAGCTATGTAGAAAAACTATAAATGAAATATATCATATGATAAAGGCCTGTTACTTGCCTACAAGCATTTAAACTGCTATTGGGCATTTTTAAAGCAAATAAATCATGCATAGTCCCATTGCCACTTATCCTCTAGAGCTTGAATTTATAAAAAGATTTAATCATTCTGCACTTGAAAAATCCCTTTCAAAATAGAACTGCCTCCTATGACCTTAAAATTCTCTCAGTGTTCAGCTTTACAGTACTTATAATTTAATCACTGATGATCAAAAGACAAGCACTCACAAAACACTCCAGGTTTAATTCATCATGTTCTAAATT